AGTCAATCAAATAAATGATGATGATTTAGTCCCTACAAAAATCAGCATTCCACTCAAAAAAATCTATGAACATAAAGTAAGAGCACTTTAATGTTAACTTGAATTTCACTAAAAATTTACCATCTACCATCTCCAATGCAACATATCTCGAACTATATCTAGTGATGTGACAAAGAGAGAAAAAAAAAAAAAAGACATTGTTAAAGAAGATTATCCAAACGAAGAGAAACTTCTAGATGCAGTGAATTATTAAAATTTAATATTTCTCATTCCTCTCTCTCTCTCTCTCTCTCTCTCTCTCTCGCTTTTTTTTTTCCTCTCATGTTTATTAATTTTCTCTCGTATTATATACACATTGAAGATGAAATTTGAATTATAGAAACCCATTGAAGATAAAATATGAACTAGATTGTCTATTCATTAAATATTATTGTCACGTATATCAAAGTCTTTCTATTTAGATGTCACATGAACTGCAATTCATATAAGAAATCCCACATAACAAATAAAGAGTTCAACTTTTGAAGGCAACATGATTCGTCTACGAGTATGGCTAAAAGATTGTTAATAAGGAATCGCCGTCGAAAAAATCATCAAACATTTTCACTTCAAAAAAACTCTCAAACTCTAATAAAATCCTTTATAGCTTTCTCAAAACCTCCAATTGAAACCACAAACGCTCGTGCCACTTAATCGAGCTACCCAATCAACACTCAAATAAATCAACTATACAAAATCCGTTGTTGCTCCAATCACTAGTAAACAACTCAATAATGTCGAAAGGTGGATTATAAATGCTCCCTCTATATTTTAGAGTATGATAAATATATCATCCTTATTCAAAGTTCATACAATAACCTATCAATAAAATAAATAAATTCATTGAAAAAAGAAAATACAATTTGTAACTTGTTAAATAGACAATCAGAAGATAAAAAAATAAAAAAATAAAAAAAATTCTCACTTGGCACCAAGTCACTCCCTGGTAATTAATTTGAGCAACTCTCCTTTCCTATCTTAGAAGGAGAATGACTTCAAGCAAATAAGAAGAAATGACTTTTTGATACGTTAAATTAAACAAACGATACATAATCTCTTACAACATTTATCACACGTCCCTCTTATTTAATACCGTGAATCGTGGCCAATCTATATAAGATTTCATTTTTTTCTTCTCCAAGATCACATCATTTGCATCATGATTGAGTAATAGATTGTAATTTGATGGTTAAATTTTTGAACCAGAAGCAAGGGGTTGTTGGAATTGCTGATACAATGCTGCCATCCTGCTATAAGCTTCCGTGCTCATTGGCTGCAGCCATTTCAAATCAAAAATGGAATTCTGTGAGTTGATAAATAAATTTTGTATTGTGCAAATTATGTAAACAATACCCACCCATCACCCACCCTGACTTGATGGGCCCCAATGCCACGTAGACAGGTGCTTAGTACCAGTGAAACCAAGTGATTTAATGTGACAAGGGCTACCACCTAGTCTGACTGGTGTTAGCATTGTTAAGAACTTATTGGTTGTGTAAAATTCACCTGTGACTGGCAAGCAAGGAATGCAGATAGGGGGTCTGCAGACATTGCAGAAGCTGGAGTTGGCATACGATCCCAAGGCGGCATAAAGGGTGGTGCGGCCCCTGGAGGAAGAAAGGGGGGAAGAATTGCGGCACGGCCAATTGTGTTTAAATCCATTACTCCCATTCCCATCCCAGCCATGGCCGCCATTCCTATTCCGGCCATGGGATTCATCATCGATGACATTTGAAGCTGTTGTTGCATTGCCAATGGCATCATCAGAGATGACATGTTATTCATTCTGTTAATCATCTGAACTTGTGCTTGCAGCTGTTTGAGATATTCTATTACTTCATCCAGCATTGAGGCTTTATCAGTCTGCAACATTAGGGTATGTGAATGAATCTACCAAAGGTAAATATAACATCAATAAGGTTGCCGGGTTCTACGTCGTCTCTTCTTTTAAGGACAAATATTGGAACGACAAATGTCTGAATCTACTATTTAGCAATGCTAGTATATAATGCAAGTAGTCTACCGAAGAAGGAGGATATAGGACTAGAATCTACAAAAAGTGTTGCCCAAAATGACTCGTTGGCCTAACCCTAGTTGGATGAACTACCAAGCACGCAAATTTATAAAAACATAAATCGTAAAAGGTCGGGATTTGGGTCAACGTTAAAGAACACAACCTGTCTCTCCACGTGAATCATGTCAAGTCAAACAAAGGTCAAATTATTGTACCGAGCCACTTTTACACCTTTTGTGTGAATTTCCACATTTAGGGAGTAACATATTCCCAAAGAGAGCACATCAATGACTGAAAGCAGACAGATATTAAGAGTCCCTACCTGGACAACCTTTATATGGTAGGATTAAGCCAAATGTACAGAGGTTCAGTTCACGGACCTCTTATCGACTCTCACATGAGGTGGATACCGATGCGGGACCCCACCTGATGAAAAATTGGTTCAATTTTGTTCCCGTCCCCCCTTTGTGTGTGGTCTGTGGGGCTTCTTCTGTAAGTGTAGCTTCATCCAAACAATAGATGATTGTGTATACAACTAACTCTTCTTCTGTCTACATGTCTATATAGCAAAATTGTATGTGGACTAGGATCATCTTTACACTTATTTTTGGGGACCACTTTACACGACATTAATTATCCTGTCTACTTTTGAGTAATTAAAGCCCTCAACTTTGTTTGGCTGAAAAAAAGTCAAAAACTCATTTTTTTCACTTCTTGAGGGAAGTAAGTATAACACACTTTCTTAAAATTATTTTTTCAACAGAAGAAAAAGAAGTTGATCTATCTATACCTTGCTGGAATTTGGGACCAACTTCTGCAATGTCTTCATCTTCTGATTAATCTTGTCTCTTCTTTTCTGCAACAAATCATTATTGCATGTCTCATAATATTTATAAATATTTTCCGCCAAAAGCAGAAATTAAGAATTTTTATTACAACATAAAGCTTTCTCGACCAATTTTTTCCCAACTAACCATAAAATAGCGAGTAATACTATTTATCACGATGATAATGAAATATCGGTAATGTGACAACCCATTATCTCTCAGATTTCTCTCTTTTTCATAAAAATTGAATAGCTCAGTCTCATTATTCCACATAAACTGTCACATTACCGATATTTTATTATCGTAATGATAAATAGCATTATTCTGGAATAATCTGTGAAATTTCGTTTACTGACTAATAAAAATAATAGCTTTGCCGACCAGATAATATATGCATATAGAAAAGAGAGCTGAGGTGAGGCTATACACGTTCAGATTGGTTATGAATAGCAGCTGCCCTACTCCTTTTAGTTGAAATTGAGGATTTTCTTGTTCCTTTCTTCTTATCCTCCACATTGCTAGTCTCCCTCTGCAATATTATCAAATAACACACGACAACAATAAAACATTTAATTCGTCGTCACGAATTTATTTCTTTGTTGGAAGACAATTTTTGTTAGTAATTTGTAACGTGACGAACACCGCCAAGACTATAAATCTTGTCCATAAACTTAAATTATCAGAACTTGACTATTTATATGTAATTTAACATAGAAATACGAAAAAAATTCATATAGGCATAAACTTTTTGGTGGTCATAAATTCTAAAAAAAAAAAATTAAAATTAAAATCCCGTAAACTATATACCAAAGGTACTGACGGAGTCACGGGACAAAAAATTTTGTATATTGAACCAATACATAAAAAAAATAAAAAATACTCACAATAATTTTCTTTTACCTAAAAAACTAAATGGTTTAACCCAGGTTTACCACTAGAAGTATATGCAAGAAAAGTAACTAAACAAACTTGCCTGCGATCTACTGTGACAAACGGAGTCGTGGTCCTCGCCGGTCTTGGCCCAATCTTTGGCGGAGCTGATGTTTTCCGGCGAACCCAATTCTAGGTCGCACGTGTCAAGAGTCACTTTATGGCTGTCTCTCCCGCTCACACTCAAGCTCTGATCCGCTTTGCTACTCCAGTCACGTGCGCTTTCCCTTCCCACGCGTGCCAATTCGGCAGCGTCGGCGCTACTGCAGGACCCCACAAGAGTGGAACATCCCACCACGCGCGTGTCAATCCCCGTCACGGGTTCCCGCACGTGCGCGGAGGGTTCTTGGCTGCTAGTATTGGTGCATGGCACCAAAGCATCCATAGTCTTGGTGGCGGCGGCAGTGGCTTCAGGGTTGACCCTATTGCGGTGATGGTCAAACCAAGGCACCAGCTCATCTCCACCACTGTTAGGGTGGCGCGTAGCTTGGTCAACTATTGATTCTAGCGTGCCACCGGCGTGTAGCTTATCCCACGTGTATTTAGTCGAACCGGCCGATGCAGCCACCGGTTTGTTTGACACTCGAGGAGGACCTAATCCATGCATGGCTAGCTGCCCATTTTCCCATGTCAGCTCTGCAACTTCATAATCCAACCTTCAAAAGTATAACAACATGAGACAGAGATTAGAACGATTTTTTTTGGTTTTTTGAGATATTCAATACATGGTACTCGACTTGACTGCACTCGACTAAACAGTATAATACGAACCTTTGCGGGGTGGGATTATCATCAAGATCCCAGCTAGGTACACGCTGATTCATCGTGAGAGAAGTTAATTGTGAAGAATATAGCACAATTTACGTAATTACACTTCCTAAGTGCAAATTTTGTGTATTCTTGGAGAAGGGAAAGGAAAAAAAAGGTGTAAATTAAACAATGGAAATAATTATTTTATTATTTTTTCAAAGATTTTGGAATGTGAGTTTGAAGTTTTGAAGATTGAATGAAAAAGGATCTTAGTGCATATTTATTATTCGTAGAGATGAGGAAAAATATAATTTAAGAGAGAATGTATGGTCCATTATTAGAAAGAGAGGGAGATTCTTATTGGAAGAAAGATAGAAATTGGGTATCTATGAAAAAGAGATAGATGTGGGCTGAGGTACGGTTTACTTGCTATCCACGTATGTCAATCATTAGACACACAATTACTAGACTAATAGAGCTTATTGTGGAAGGACCAAGTTGGAGACTTAAAATGAAAACAAGCCTTTGTTTTGTAAGTTTGAAACTAATGTCTCTATTTGATTTAGATAAAAATCAAGTAGATTTTAACAAAAGTATTAAAAAAAAAAAAATCATATTTTTAATAGATTTTGATAGAGATTGATGGAATGAGTGATTGAAAAGTTATGGATCTCATAAAAAATATGATAAAAATTAATTTTGTACTTTAATTTTGAAGGTTTTAAATTAGCCTATTTATTTAGATTCAACGTGCGAAATTATACAATTAAAAACAGTAAGTCACTTTTTAATTGTTTCTAGATGGTTAGATCAAACAAGTTAATTTATCCTAAATTTGAATACCACAATTAATAATTAAAACAGTACTAAAGAATACCAAAGATGATCACGGAAAAACCCCAGCTGAATAAAAAATTCGGACACTTTTTCAGTTAGTAATCCACTATAAATCGAAGCAAACTTAAAGTACGGTCTAGAACAATCTACTCCGTAGAACTTCTAACTTCAATTCCTACAATCTCTCTTGATCCTACGAAGATGCACCCCTTCAAAACAAATTTCGACTCTTGGTTTCTACATTTGCCCTCCTGGGCTGCGTGCTCCTGACGCCGGATCCCGACTCTTAGTATCTCACTTTAGTCGTCCTAAATTTGTACTTCTGCTACGACTCCCGATCACTGGTATCGATTTATCTTTAGTGGATTAGGTGATATGGTGTTTGATCAAAAGATTTTGTGTGTTTTGATATGTTGTTTTATATGAAACAATATGGTTTGATCAACAAAATATGATTTGGATGAATTTATGGATCAAGTAATATGTGATTAATGAATCTTCGAATCAATGAATGTTTTGGATCTTCAAAGTAATGATCTCTATGGAATAAATATGATTCAACACACTTTTGGACGTTCATAGGATATGATATATATAGGGAAAAGCTCTTGGATTGAAATAGGAATCAAAATCACGTGTTTTAAAGCAAATAGGATTCTAGACGTCGACCCGTAGCTCGAGCTCCAAGCAGCAACGGGCGAGCAGTAGTTGAGCTGTCGTAAGTATTGGTATCATAACTTTCTCTATCGATATCCAATTGAGGTGATTCAAAATGTATTGGAAAGCCAACTCAAATAGCTACAATTTTTTTAAAGATAGCCGTATCCAAATTCCAATGTTTTTATATGAAAATTGAGTTGCAATTTGTGACTGAGAATTTGGAGTATAACTTGTACGGCTCATTGACACTCTTTAGAGTTCTAATTGCATTTCCTTGATCATATGTGATCTTCTTGGACATTTTGGACTCATTTAAGGACTATTCTACCAACTCCAACTCTTTTAACTTTAAATTGGACTCAATAACTCATATTTTGACTTCGATTACACTCGATAAACTCTTAATACAATTCAATAAGGACTTGATTTTGATTAAGGAAATTATCAATTATAATTTGGATTTAAAAAAATTGAATTATAATAAACATTTTTAGGTGAACCAAATAGGGGTTAAGTCTGCATTTCTTTTGTACGTGTCCATTGGAGAGGTTTTCGACCACTTTGAAGATCTAAATCACAATTTATATCTAATTTAGAGTATCACTGGATATGCTCTTATATCCTTTCTTCTCTTTTGTGCAATGGAAAGCTCCACCCTCCATTCCCATTTTTCTTTGGCCTAATACTTGGGGAGCTCCCAAGCAAATAAAAAAGAAGAAGGTAGAAAGAGACATGCTTGCAAAAGGAGGAACAATGAGAACGATGAAGAGATGGAAAGGGGGAGAGGGCAATATGCTTGATGGTAGAGAGTGTAGGATGGAAAATCAGGAAGCAGATGTGAACATTCACACCACGTCGTTTAATAAATACCAAATATTAATTGCATTGAAAGTTTTTAATCTTTATCCATGAGTAATGCTATTTAGCACCATTCTAGATGTCAATTAGATTTCATTAAATGATATGTTCATTTAAATGCAAAGTCAATACATCTATTTAATTGCAATTATCAAGTGTGGACATAGAGATTGGTGCTCGTTATTCTTTATCCATTGTCACTATTATGTCATAATCTTTTCCAATCATATTCTCCATTAATTGTCATTAATTAACAAAACCTGTCTTTAATGATGATCTTGACTTAAAAAAATGGTGTTAAAGTGCTGTAAAATGTGGTAAAAATATTTAGTTACAATTTTCATTTGTTTATTAAAAATATGCAAGGAAAATAAGTTTTTTTACTCCGTCTTATGGAACTTTTGAACAGATATCGTAATCACGAACAAAATGTGCTAATTAATGAAAGGTTAAAGAAAAATGCGATGAAGAAAGTTGGGAACATAAGTATGACAACGGGTAAAAGTTATGCACATTTTATGTATTTAAAATGTGGTGCAATTATAAGAAAATGTGTTTTGAATATATTTAGCCAAATGTGAATGAAGAGACTTAATTTAAAGGTGGTTAAATTTTCGCCACCGTTAAATTGTACTAAAGGTCTTCGATCTTTTCTATTGTAGCATGTAGTCCCCAATTTTATAGTAACATTCTTATATTCAATCTTTCATTAATTAGCACATCTAATTTTCTATCATGGTTTTCGTCCAAATAGTTTGCTAGTGTGCTTTGAAATGTGGGGCAAATATTATGTCAAACATTTGTATTTATTTTTTATTTTTTTTTTTAGTTATTTGAAAATGTGATAGGCAAATAAGTCATTTACGCCAATCTAAAGAACTTTTTGGATGGAAACTATCATCGCAAACCATTAAAATAACGAAAAAATTGAGGATAAGAGTGCGATAATTAACAAAGATTGAAGATCTTTATTGCAATTAAAAATGGGATAAAACAAAAGAAAAGTGTGATGACCATATAACCACCAATACTTTTTAATATAGTGTAGTAGATATTAATGTTTAATAAAAAAATTTATTTTTAAACAAAAAAAATTAAATTTAGGTTTTTTTTTTTAGTATGACAGATGAAAATGGATGAGAAAAGAAAAATCTCCTAATCTTTTTGAATGCTTAAATTCCAGCTCATTTATATGGATTTCAAATGTGGGATACAAATTAACAATATTATGTTCGTCTTGTATATTAAAGAGATAAAATCTATATAAAGTTAATCATTGTACTAAAATGTGAAAAACAATATTTCAATCCACTTTACAATTAGAGAGGGTATGAATAGGTGTTTTATATAGAATTTAAACCGACCCAAAATAATCTACAAGTCACAAATTATATAGGGCCTGTCTGGGCCAGCTTCAATTTGGATTATAATTGGAAATCGACCCGTTACATGTCCAACGGTCCGAAATGTCCAATTAGCCAACTGTCGGATATGTTACACTTTTTACCTTCCTACCCTGCAGACAAGCCACCCTACCTACCACCGCAATTGCCCAACTACCACGTTCATCGACCCTGCATCCTCCTCCGCAGCTGGCGATTTCTACCCATGGCGCTCCGTCCNGGGCCTGTCTGGGCCAGCTTCAATTTGGATTATAATTGGAAATCGACCCGTTACATGTCCAACGGTCCGAAATGTCCAATTAGCCAACTGTCGGATATGTTACACTTTTTACCTTCCTACCCTGCAGACAAGACACCCTACCTACCACAGCAATTGCCCAACTACCACGTTCATCGACCCTGCATCCTCCTCCGCAGCTGGCGATTTCTACCCATGGCGCTCCGTCCATCATCGTATCCAGCCTGCAGATCCGATCGACCGTAACGAAATTATTATTGGACTGTGCAAGTGTCTGAGCAGTGCCTGCGTTCGTCGACAAGAAGTTCGGAGAACGAAAAGCCCACGAACAACAAGTCCCTGCAACCTGCTTCTACACCCATAAACTTCCGAACTGTTGCTGGCTTCATCTCCTCCAGCCGTGGTGAAGTGGGTGCAGTGCTGTATGCCCCTTTCCCGCATCTACAGCAATTTCTCCCAAAACCGGAACTCGGCCTACACACGCCGTCACCTGCAAGTTGCTGCAACAGGCTACAGAAGCCTGGAAATCACCTTACACGAGCAATTTTCGGTGCTCCCCCTTCTGCGGCAGCTTCCAATTGAACGGGCTTCAGTGGAACTCATGGATCCGAGCCAACCGTCCTGGGTACGTTTTATGCACCTTTTCTTACAGTGCAGTTAGTGGATTTCTATAACACTGCTATTGTAATTCTGCTCAAATTGTATTGATTTATTGGTTAGATGTACACATGAGATTACAGTAATGTCATTAGGGATAAAATTTTGAGATGAATGTAGGCCAACCGTGTTTATGCTAAACAGGATAAATTGTATAGGAAAGGAAAAACCTGATTTTCAGAAAAAACGTTTGCTCAAATGGTGCCTCTTTAATTCATTATGTTGAATCGGTATTACATGTGAGTTGTCTCATTGTATCATTCCTTCACAGTAACGTGGCAATTTCAAAAAATCTTGGACACAATTCTGTATGGCTTACGTATAGTTTGGCACGCTTCAACTAAATTTTGTGAGTTGTTGTTCGACTACAGCAGCATTTCCAACGGGGTCACTCGTCGACCGAGACCGGCCCTTCGGTTCA